TCTCTCTCTCTATCTATCTATCTATCTGTCTCTCTTCTTCATCTCCTGTCCCTCAGCGATCGCTCCTTAGCCTCACGTGTGTGTCAACCTATAGCGAGCGCGCGCACGGACAGACAAAAAGATGCTGGAGCACTATGTCATACTTGCGTACACTCGTAGACGAAGGCGAGAGCTCTACTTTGAAGTTCCAACGGGGATCCCCTCCCCCTCCCCCCCCCCTCGCCCGCTCGCCTTAATGCGCCGCGTCTACAGCCGCTAGAGATCTTTGTCCTCGGCGAACCGATTAATTTTCCCCCCTCGACTTTACTTTCCCCCCCGGAGCAAAGGAAAGGACACGAGCGTGACGTTTGTCGCGTAGCGTACTGCGCACTGCACCTCGTTTTAACTTGTCTCTCTCTCTCTCTCTCTCTCTCTCTCTCTCTCTCTCGTTTGTTGACGAATTCACAAGCTTCGAATTACTTTTGGAGCTATCGTCCATCTCAATTGTTATGAGCAAGGTTACGCGGCAAGGCAAGGCTGTATTCGCGCTACAAGGAAACGTATAAAGCGTGAACCGCACCCACGTCATCTGAGGATAATGGCAATACGCGTTATTTTGTGCATCCTGCCGTGCCCTGTCCGGTCGGCACTAACTCGGGCTCCAACGCGAATCGATCGTATGCGATAGAAGGCGATATCTTGATCGGCGAGCGCCCTAAATCGCCCCGCTGCCGCCGCCGCGCCGGGAAAGAAACGCGATATTTTCGAACCGGTACTCGGTATTTACTTTGTAGAGACATTGAATTAGCATTAGCCGTACAAGATCTCGTACAAGTGCGTCCGCGACAATGAGAGAGGGAGTAAGAGGGAGGCCGGGTAGAGAAAGAGAGAGAGAGAGAGAGAGAGAGAGAGAGGGCAGAAGGAATGAGCTCAGGGAGAAACGAAGGAGAGGAGAAACGAAGAAGCCGTCCGCGCGCATCGCGGAGGTGGTGGTAAGTCGTTTTGTGTCTGCAGCTCGTCTAAATATATACGATCCTCTCTTCGGTGCGGTGCAGCCTTTCTCAAAGAAACAGGAGAGACGGGAACGGACCCCGCCACGATTTTAGAGAAATCCCCGTGTGCGTATCGCGCGCGGGCGCGAATACGGGAAAGGCGACAAGTCGCCTGTGACACTACGTGGACGTACCCGAAGATCGAAGTTAAACCGAAAGAGAAACAGAACACTGGGTCGCTTCTTAATTCATTATTTAATGTCTTTGATTTGATTCATATGTACGTTGTTATTATCATTGATATACATTGTCATTTTTCTAATTAATATTGAACATAACGTTGCGAATATCGAAAATAATTTCTTGAAATAATTTCCTTTAGGCTCATATCATTTTATATACGTACTATTTTATACGTATTATTTAATTCAATTTTAATTTATTTATCTAAAAAAATCAAATTAAAATATCTAATTGAAAATAATTTCTGGAAATCATTTCCTTTAGACTCATACTATTATTACCACATAATTCTTCTCCATTATTTTTTTTTATTTAATTTCAATTTGATATAATTAATATAATATACGACTAATTTAATAGAATAATAATCGTTAATAACGCGAAAAGAAAAAGAGAAAAAAAATAATGTCTTCAATTCCTTGGAGAATTCTCGCGCTGTCCTCCTTCCTTTTCTCTATTAGCTTCCCTCCCGCTCCTATTATATTATAGATGCTACAGATCACACAATAATCGAATACATCCGGAAGTTAAATAAGGCAATCTGACTATATACGCGGGAATCATGACGTCCTCTTCCCCTCCCTCCTGCCCGGAGTCGCGTCGTGTGCGTCACGCGAGTGCGATATGCAACGCCGTCGTTTACCTACTTAAAAGAAAAAAAAGGCGCATTGGCTTACTAAACTTCTTTAATGCACAACGGCGGCGTTGTCTTCGTGGCTGCAGCCAATTAGCCGCGAATCTTGTACGGAGGATCGAGCGACGCGCTTCGCGAGGGCGAAGGAAAGGGTTCCGATCGCGCGCCGCGCCTCGCCGCGCCGGCCACGTGAATAAGGCCCATTTATGTAAAACTTTCAGGCGTTTTTAAACACGCGCTTCCGAGGTAATCTGCCATCGTATGAAATTGGGTAGAAATTGGTCGAATCCGCGAATGCGGGGGAGCACAACGAGGCGCATAGTGATCCCTTAGCCGAACGCTAATTCCTTCTCTCCTCTCTCCCCCTCATTCTCGAATAGCTCTCTCGATAGAAATCTCGCCGCTTATCCTTCCCTTCTTTTGACTGATACGGCGTATTAAAATTAACATTTTTACACAACGGGCAGACCGGTTCTCAAAAGCGATGATATTTGAAAAGTGCGCTGTTAACTGATTTACACGCGATGGAGATATACTCCGGTCGAAGAAATAAAGAATGCAAAAACATTCTCTTTCTTTCCAGGAACTCGAAACTCGAACTTCGGGTGAATTATAAACGCCGGAAATCGGTGCGGCGATCAAAGATTTTATCTGACGAAGTCTGCCCGTCTCTCGTCCGCTTCTCTCTCTCTCTCTCGCTCTCTCTCTCTCTCTCTCTCTTTCTTTTTCTTTCTCTTGTAAATCGTATCGCGCGTGTACGATTATCGTGCGTTGTTAAGACCAAAGTTATCGGCGAGGAAGAAAAAAATGGCGATTTCGTGGGAACGCGTCGCGCCCCAAAGACGCGACGGTAAAAGGCAGACGCGCGCTTATTTTGACAATGTTAAAGGGACTCGCGATCGTCTGCTGTCGCCACCTCGGCGATAAATACTAATTGAGATTAGCATCAACAGCAACGTCCAACAGGTGTTCCGTGAGAGGTTTCGGAGCGAGGAAAGGAGATCCGAAGGAAGAGAGGGTGGAAATCTGAGAACGAAAAAGAAAAATGTGTACCACTACGGGTTTCGACGGAAACACGCACGTATATAAAGCGCATATATACAGCTGATTTCTCGATTCACGCGCGCCATAATAAAATTTTTTTTCGTCATTCTATAAAAACCGTTGTCGAGCAATCTTGGAACTTTTTTTTTATAAATTTTCGTACAACTACTCGGAAATTATAAACGTGCGTGAAATAAAAAATAAATTAGATAATTAAATCAGATAAGCTTGCTAATGAATTTACTTGTTAATATTCGGGCATATGATTAAGGACGATCCGAAAATGGTTAATATGGCCCACGAAGAGCATCAGGGTCGACGGCTTAAGCGGACTTAAGTTGACGGCCGGCGGAAATCAATCGAGGCGAGTTCCGAACGGGCCCGACCGGCCGGCCCCGACTGCCAGCTAGATATACAATTTTCGGAGGATAGCAGCTATAAATCTCCCTCATCTCCTAACCGTCTCGACGTTAGAGCGGCAATTAAATTAAATCGCCCCGGAAGCCTCTAAGCCGGGTGCGACGTGGAGCGTCGAAGACGCGAAGAGGAAAATTTTATTTTACCGTCGCGGAATCGTTCGCGAATTAACAGCAGGCGGTTGCGTTAAATCGAAACTTTCGCGCGCGAAACTCGCTTGGATTATTCGGGTAAACACACGTGTGTGACACGCTCTCGCGACATTGATCGGCCGAATTTGTATGCCGTGCGATATCGTCGTTACTGTTTTCGAGAACGTCGCGTCGTCACTATAAATAAAATTAAAAAAAAGCGGCACTCGATTATCATTGCAATCTCGTACCGGCGCGATTCGTTCGGGTCGAATTTTATGCGGGCCCTCGGCCTCCCCGCGTGCGTAAACACGCGGCTCGCAGACGTGCAGGCGGGCGATCGCGGCGTTGTCGACGTTATAAAGGACGCATGCACGGGATAGTTAAATAAGACGGAGAAATAAACTAGAAACTGGGTATAACGAAACCGGTGTAAGAAGAATGGAATTGGCGGAGGGAAAAAGAGGGCATACACGAGCGGAGCCGGTGGACATTGCTAGATCCTTATAAAGAAGAGAAACGAGCTACATGAGTCCTTTTCTCTCCGCTCCGCCGTGCGTCCCCCCCTCCGTCTCTTTCTTTCTCTCTCGCGGTGCTAGAATTCCCAAGATATTTGAACGTGTTATGTTGTGAAATAGAAAACTAACTCTCGGTTTATTAAGCGCGGTAAACGCTTAGACAAATGCATGACACATTTTGCATCTTAAACACTCGTCGAGATAACGAGAGCGCCGAGATTTGACTTTACAATTAGCGATCCGATAGCATCCGATAGCGGCGTACGGCAATTTTCCACTTAAAAGGATAAAAAAAGACGAGACGAGAGAGACGCGGCTTTCGCCGAGACGCGGGCTGTCATCTCACGTCGATCTCGTCCGTTCGACGCCGAAAATTCGTCAAAAGCGCGGACGGCACACGGAGGCGGCAGACGAAGGTCACGTTTCAGCGATAACCGCGGCGCGCGGTACGGTGGAACACGTTTTACACACGGTGAAAGCGTAATCTCGCAGCGGCGGCCGCCGCGAGCCGCGAGGAAAGCATTATGATCAGCCGGGAGGGGACCACGTCACGGATGTGCGAGACTCGGTCGCCGTCGCCGCCGCTCCGTTTCTTCTCTCTCTCTCTTCTTCCTTTTTCCTTCCATTTCTTTATTTTTTTTTTTCTCGCGCGCGTTTCTCATTATGTAAGACCGAGACACGGTCGCGGCGGCGACTCGGAACGGAGCCGCGGAGTCCGAGCGCAACGTATATAAGCCGCACGTTCGCCACGTACGAGGACGGCCTCTGTAACCTTTAAAGGACAAGAGACCACCGCTCTCCCGAGGCGACAAGGCGAGCGAAAATCGCCGGGATACCATACCATGAGATCTGAGAGAAACCATGAAAGATATTCGGAACGACCGGAAGGAGGGGTGGTGCGAGCTTCCGTTTGACGTTTGTCTTGCGGTATCCTCTCGCTCCTCCCATTCAGGAGATCGTGCCGGTCGATAGCGACCTGTCGGCACTTTTGTCGGGGCGGACAACAGGTAAACAAGATTTATAGACCGGAGGGGTTACTTACCGGCGGCCCGATGCGGTCTCCTCGCCCAGTCGTCCTCTATCAAGGGTGCGACTTTTCGCGCGTGCAGCGTCAAAGGGCAGGAAGCGACGATGAATAGGATCGGCAACAGCATCAGACCACCGTGGAGATGCATCTTGGCGACTCTCGGTCTCTCGCGGCACGGCACGGCCACCCTATCCTCTCTCACTTCGCCTTCTGCCCGGTTTATCAGCCGGTTACTCTCTCGCACACGGTCCTGGCACTCGTGCCTGGTGCCTTACGCATATAGCGCGTCTTCCTCCTCCTCCTCCTCCTCTTCCTCCTTCTCTCGCCGCTTCTCTCGCGTTCTCTCTTTCTCTCTCTCTTTCTCGCTCTCCTTCCTCGTCGTCGTCGTCGTCGTCGAAGCCGCGGCACTGGTCTATTAACGACCGTTCACTGCACAAAACTTTCTGCACTATCTCGCACTACGTAACCTACCCCCTTTACCGTCCGTCTCGACTGCGAGCGGCGCGTAGACGACGGAAGAGACGAAAAATGGAGGAAGGAAAGGGGAAAGGACCGTCCCTCGTGGAAAAGGCGTTTAAACGCGCGTGTCTTGAGGGCGCGCGACGCGCCGTCTCTATTTCTTCCTATTCCGGCGTGTCGAGATGATGGTATACGCGAAAGTCCAAGACGATCCTCACGCGGACGTTCCGCATTACCGCGCGCGAGCGCGCGCGCACACACCTCGCCGCAGCCTCTCTCGGCTCCGGCTCTCTCGGAGGGAACGAAGCGCACCGAAGCGAAGAACTGCGAGAAAGCCTTCCCGGTCTCGCGCGCGTCGCGCCGCGCTCTCTCGCAATACTCCGAGCCCGCTACTCCGAGCGATCTCTCGATTCGCGCTCCTCGCGCGCCTCTCCGCACCACCGCCGGCCACGAGAGCGCGCGATACTGGCGGCGCACGTTTTATAAGGTGGTAGGTACACGTATAGCTGCGCTACGAGACGAGAGTGCCCCGAGAGAGAGAGACACGGGTGAGCAGGGCGGTGGAGAGCGACGGCGGCCGCCGCTTCGTCGTCGTCGGCGACGGCGACTTCTCTCTCTCTTTCTCCCTCTCTCTCTCTCTTTTCCTCTCTTCTTCTCCTTCCTATCGTTCGAACTCCTCGTTTCTCCGTTTCGCGCCCCTGCACGCTGCCCTCTCGCGCTGCCACCCGCCGCGTGTGCTTATATGATACGTCTCTTTACCTCCCGCGTGTGCGTACTTCGCGCCGTATATACTTCTTTACTTCACGCTGCTGTACGCCGGTCGTACACGTCGTAACTGACACATGCAGTGCGGCCGGCACTGTGTGTGATTTCCCGACCACGAGTTGCGCCGCGCGCGCGTCAAGCGTATCGGATAGCAAACGTCCGACTGACTGACTGACTGACCGCGAGCCGTCTGGTCAACTCCTCCCTGGTGGGAGGAGGAGGAAGAGGAGGAGGTCCTCCCGCGCGAGCGCGGCCGTGCTCCGCGGCTACTCCGTCCGTGTCCTCCTCCACGCGAGAACGCGATCGCGAGATCGCGCGGAACCGGGAAGCGCGGGCGAGCCCGTGTGTCGCATATAGCACGTATAAGCGCGCGAGCCACGGCGCGACCGAGTTTTCAGCCCCCCTCGGTTAGCGCGCTTGTCCGCTTCGAATTCCGACGATCGCGCGCGCGTCACGCCTAATATAAAACGCGCTTTACCACTTTCGTACGTTCCCCTCTCCTCCCCGACCCCTCCACCTCCCGCGGTACGAAGACGACGACGGACGACCCGACCACCGACGCCTCTGCCAACGGAAGCGTCGCTCTGTCTGGCGTCGCACGCTCCGCTCCTCTCTTCTTAATAATAGTACGCAGCCACGTGCTATACCGCGCGCGTTCTCTCTCTCGGCGCGCGGCCGAGCCTCTCTCGGCGAAGAAAAGAAAAGGAGAGAGAAAAAAAAAAGATCCGCGTGCGATTATCACCTACGATAACGCCGCGCCGGCTCGTCGTTATCTCTCCTCGTCGCGGACGTACCCGAGAACGACATGTAATGGAAGGTGGACTTTTTCTCGATTCGGTCGATCGGCGCCTTCCCAGATAACCGCTTCCGTCTGGGTCCGCAATGACAACTGCCCGCAGGCCGCTCGGCTCCGTCTCTTTTATGGAGAACAGCCGGCGTGTGAGCGCGCCCGTTGCGCGGCGACCGCCGGCCGCTCGGCTCGGGCCCTCCCCGGCAATGCGTCGCGCGAGCAAGGGTTAATCGGGAGAACTCATGTCGTCCGGCATGTGTTACCTCGATCGCGTGCGCGGGTGGGTGTAGCGAGTGTGTGTAAGCGAATCGCTGCGCCGGTCCGGCGGTTCGAGAGGTGTGCGAGACAACGCGCCTGCACGCGTGTGGGTGCAGCGCCGACCGGCCCTATTATACCTAACTATGTTCGGCCGAGCCGAGCCGAGCCGAGCTTATTGTGAGAGTCTGACCGGCAAGACGGCGCGCACAGGATCGAGTCGGTGCTGATGCACGCGAGACGGACGTCTCAGACCCCGGATGCACCACACTGCATCGCCGTCCGCTCCGTTTAAGAACGCGGAGAAAGGGCGCTCATTTTTTTTGTAAATTTTTAAAAGGACTTTCTCCGATCTATATAGAATTTTTGAGCGGGAGATGTAGAATTTCCCCACGCGCGGAAAATAATAACCCATCGATCGGTATATCAGCGTCGCGTCGTTATACCTCTCAGTCAGCATCCTCTCTCTCCGTTTCTTCCTGCAGCACACCGCTCTTATTTCGGAGCGCTACGCAACAAGAAATATCTCTCTTGGCCGCGCAAGCATCTAAATTTCGCCAACGGCGCAAACAAACACACACCTGCAGTCTTGTAAAATTTATGCAGCCGCCAGGGGATTAAAATTCATATAGCAAATAGTACGTTAAATTCGCCCGGCGGAAGACGCGCTTTACATATACCTGTGTTGGATATAGATATATATACCCCCCGAGAGAATCATGTTTTAACGTTTTGTATATGCGGATCGAATTCTCGCCCTATATTCTTGGCACGGTTCGGGATCAAGCAAACAAGGGATGAAAATGCCGTTTCGATTATCGCGCACCGCGACGACGACATTCCTCGTTTCCGTCGTTCCCCCGTCGACGGATGAAAAGGGCCGTTTTCATTGTAAAAACTTGAAAGGAGAGAATTGACGCACCCTAGTTTTTCCACGGGTATTTCCTTCGGAATCATAAAGTCACCCAAAGATTCCGAGCATATACGGGCATCACGCGAGGGAAGGGGATAGCGAGCAGAAATTCCGAGAAGCGGAAAGAACGCGGCGAGATAAATATCGGGTAACGACGCATCAATGGTTCGAGTGTTGTGAATGGAGATGAGCAAGGACTTGCCGACTTGCGCGCGCGATAATCTTAATCAAATTCGTCGATTCACGGCGTGTCGAAATGACGTAGGCGTTAAATAAGCTCGCTGCACCGCGCGCGTATATATACTTACGCGATGCAAATCCGCGTCGTCTCGCGCGACGTCAGTCGCATATCTGAAATTCGCGGTTAATACCACGCACAATGAAATCACGGGACTGATTTATTCGCCGTTTTTCGCGCCGTGACGCGTCGTGACGAACCGAACGTTGAGTAACGGAGATCTTATCTCGATGCACGCACTCGTCGTCATGCATTCTTTTTTTCCTCTCTTTTTCACATTAGCCGCTCACCGATTTCAAAAATACGAATTAGACGCGAAAGGAGGCTGCATATCTATACGGAGAGGAAGGGTACAGTGCGCGCGGACGTGTGTGTGTGTGTGTGTACAGCATGTGGGACCTCAAGGTGAGAAAAGAAAAATGACGAGGAGAGGCTGAGAGGCAAAACGCCGTCGTTTCTTGCGTTTGAAGGCGAGAAAGGAGACGTGTGGCGCTTTCGCAGATTCCACGTGTGATTCCATGTGTGATTCCACACGAGATACCTGCCTGGCATTCTTCGTTCTGCAAGCGAAGGCATTAAGCCGGATGCACATTCGTCGTGCGACGACGTTTCGTTCGCCGTATTCGTTTTCTAAGAAAAATATCTTCCGCCTCGAAACGAATTTTACGGCAGATTTTGTTGACGGTCTTGGCTCCGCCGAGGAAGGGTCCGCGCGCTCCTCAATCCGACGGCCCCTCCCTCCCGCCCCGCTTTATGGATGGTCTTCACGTTTCACATTCGTCGCGCCCTCGAATTATTATTCTCACCGACTAATTGGATAGATGTCGTGCGTTAAATCTATTTTTGAAGAAAAGGTTACTCGGCAGAGTTCTACGAATGCGGGATCCCGTCGTCGATTCCCGAGGCGAGGAGGAGGAGAGGAGAAAAAGGAGAGGTATCTCTCTTTCTCTCCCAGGACGCTATAATAAATGTAAGTTCTCTCTCTCTCTCTCTCTCTCTCTCTCTCTCTCT